CAGTTTCAGTAGTATTGTATCACTCTCCCAAGCAAGTACCCAGCACCATTTCTAAATTAGGACTAATGCGCATGATCTGTTGATCATCTTTCCAAGCAAGTACCCCACAAGTTGGAAGTAGGGATGTTGGTGTTGCCTAATATAGAGGTGAAGGGATGTTGGTGTTGTCTCTAAGTCACCCCAACCAGAGGACTAACACGTGCGATCTTCTACAGCCTAGACCTTCTGTGACGCCGCTGTTACACATGATGCCTGCAGTCCATGATCAGGGCTTCTTCTGGGAATTTCTATTCCAAAACCGTACTTGCACTTGGACTTTCTACAGGGCTTCGCATCCGATTATGGCTCCCTAAGGTTACAGTAACAAATTCAAAAATTTGTCACCAGCCCAACTCGAACCGTCGACCTTGTCTGTAGGGGTTTGGGAGCTTAACCAGTAAGCTACGGGGCCCAAACCCTTGCATTCGTGGTTTTTGACCAAACACCAATTTATAAAATATATATTTTGTAACAAGTGATATTTTAGTATTCATTACATGTGTTGCTAGTGGAAGTCCTTGTGTTTAACTTGAACTTTTTTCATTTTTCATCCATTTAGATAATTTATGCTCTAGACTATTATTAGCTTTTTCAATATAACCTTGAGATTCTGGATGCTGTAGACATCCATTAATAATTCGAATACCTGGCTACATAAACATTAATTGGTTAATTAAACTAGCTGTAAACTCTTTACTATTATTGGTATGTAAGATTACAAGAGGACCAAAGATTATAAAAATATTAAAAAGTACAACTGCAACTTCTTCAGCACGTTTAGAGGTTAAAGATGATGACCAGCAAAATTTTGAAAAATGATTCTTTGCATGACATATATATCGATATTTATTATCAGGTTTACTTGTCATTGAAATTAAATCAACCTATATATTGATATATAATTAATAATGATTTATTAAAAATTTATACATAATAAATAATTATAAAATCAAAATTATCAATTTTTAATTATATACCTCAACTCTTGTCATAAATTTTGTATGAATTATAGGTTTTGCTGCAACATGTTGAAAAAAGTTATGACACAGTTCACAAGTTTTACATTGTGTAACAAATTTTTTAACCAAATCTTGCTAAATAAAGCTATATTGATTTTGAAGTTCATTCCATAATTTTTGTTGACCACTATGTTGTTGTGTTCTGTATATACTACAAAAATATCATAAAGTTTTTCTTTTACAGCAACAGGTTTATCTTTATGATAAAGAAAATAATTTGAATCTTCATCAGTTCCAATATTTTTTATTGTTAATATTAATTATATCCAGTATCTATCTTGGGCTGTTCCACAAGTTGTTTTAGGATTTAAAATGTGACATGTATAGCTTGATCATATGTATGTTGTGTTATAAATAATTTTTTTTGGTAACGAATATCTCTACTTTTAATATAACTAGCTCTCAGGCCCAGGCATTGCCCCAGGTGCGTAGTCTTAATTTTTTTAAATATTAAATTTAACTAAATCTAACTTGAGTTCACTTGAACCCAAATTAGGTTCATTTGAACCCCGTTTTGGGTTTGCTTAAACCTGGGTTTGGGTTCAAGTAGACCCAAATTGGGTTCACTTGGACCTGTGTTAGGTTCAAGTGAACCTGATTTAAACCTGGGTTGGGTTTAAGTAAACCCATTTTAGGTTCACTTGGACCTGGGTTGGGTTCAAGTGAACCTGATTTTGACCTGATAATCCAAATTGGATTCAAACGAACCTGAATTGGGTTCATCTGAACCCAACTTGGATTCAAATGAATCCAGATTGGGTTCACTTAAACCCGACTTGGGTTCAAATAAACCTGAATTAGGTTCACTTGAACCTGACTTGGGTTCAAATAAACCCGGATTGGGTTCACTTGAACCTGACTTGGGTTTAAATAAACACAGATTTGGTTCACTTGAACCTGACTTTGGTTTAAATGAACCCGGATTGGGTTCACTTGAACTGACTTGGGTTCAAATGAACCCAGATTGGGTTCACTTGAATCCAACTTGGGTTCAAATGAACCTGAATTAGGAATGAGAACAGCTACGGCTATAGCTGGCTATAGCCAACTATAGCTATAGCCAATATTAACCAAGCTGAACGGCTTAGCCAGCCGGCTAAAATTATAGTGATTCAAGATTTTTAATGTACTGCTTGTCAAAATAATAATCACAGTATAATTCAATAATAAATCATATCAGCAGGTCTGCATTATCTGATAAATAGAGGAACCAATCATTCATAATTCTGATCAATTTGCAGATCATTTAGCCAGATCTATAACAAAACAATTTTAAATTTAGTAAAATAATCTGCAGGTTTAACCATAGTGGTACTAAAGATGGTTAGTCATTGCAAAAAAAATGTCCAGATCATGTCATCGACGATCTTTTCTAGCCTCTTTAATATAGTCTGATAAGTCATATATTACACGAAAATTAAATCAATATAAATACGTATTAACATAACATATGATTTATTAGGCTACATCAAAGAGGCTGGAAAAGATTATTGATGACATGATCTAGACATTTTTTTTTATCATAACTAACCTATTTTAGTACTAACTAAATGCCATTTTTATATAAACTTTAAATAAGTGTGCAAAGTAAATAGTATTGAATAATATTTATTTTGACCGATGTGAATAGTTATGGGACCTTCGACTTTTTAGTTAATAATCAAATAATTAATAATAAATTATTAATATTATTAATAGTTAATAATTTTAACTAATTAGGTTTAGGTCGCAGATAACTCCTATAACCTTTGAGTTAGCAAGGGCTCTGTCTGAGTCTCTAGTCTTAGTATCTTATAGATATAAAGTTCAAATAATGTAATTTCTTTATCTTTATTTGTAAAGAAGTTTAATTGGATTTTAATAAAGATAGAGGCATGGCCTCACCTTTGAAGATTAAAAAAAAAAAAATAATAATTTTAACTAACACCAAAAATGTATTTGAATTAACCAAACTGCTAATAAAGTCAATAAAAGTTTAAATCAATAAAAAAAATAGTAAATTTAATTTGTCATTTACCGTATTTTTGCATAACGAATTTTGGCCTAAATTAAGCTTAATCTGGACCAAATTTAAGCTTAATCCGACTGGAGTAAAATCACTACCCAAAAAAGTTTCAAAAATCATGATATTGCAATTCATTATAATTAGGATCATGATAATAATAATATTAATAAAATATTAATTGATTTAGTAAGTGATTTTTTTTCTTCGATTCTTCAAAATGTAAAGCGATCGCTACAATCTTGAAAAACCAAGTGACTCTTTTAAAGGTATAAAATTCAATAAACACAATATTCTAAACATGTACATCGATTGCTGCATCAGAAAACCTTTTAGATTTTATTTTTAATGCTCTTCGGAAGATTATAACTCTGATTATTTATTTGAGCAAAAAGTTTGATAATTCTAAATCCAGAACGCAACAAAAAAAAATTGTTAAGAAAAGCATAATAAATCCAAATCGTAACAAATGGCTTGATAGTATTAATAAAAACTTTGAGCCATTACATAAATTGAAGGAGTATAACCATTTTAAAAGGCAATGAAATATTCTAAATAATTAAAAAACTATAATCATAACACAGTCAACTTTGGGTATAATGAACCTTCCTATAACAAACTCGGATATAATGAACTAAAATTTTGAAATTTCATAATAATTCGGTATAAAAAGTGGCATGGTTCTTAAGAAAAAATATATAATAATTTTATATAACGATTTTTTTTTCTTCCAAAATCTTCAGTTCATTATAGAAAAAGTTGACTGTACTTTCTGGCTATAACAAATATTACATTTATTGGAGTTTATTCAAAATAAACAAATTGTTTATCATTATTATTATTTTAGTCTATAAAGTTTTTTCATTTGTATTTTTTGTTCAAGTTACATGAATTTTTGGTATATTTGTCCTGTATGTTCGAAACTTTTTTGGGTGGCGATTTTATCCTGATCGCTTAATCTGGGCCAAAATTTGCATAATGCTCATAGGCATTATTACGCAAAATAAATTTTTAAGTCATTACATTCGAAATGTCATAATTTTAATTATCGCTATAATGTGTTAATGAGGTCAATAAAATTAAATTTAATTTATCATTAATAACCAAATTCGTTAAAAAAAATTATTATTCATTCAAAATGTTACCTTCACATAAATTTGAAAGAAAAAAAAAACCAGTCTGGCAATGGTTTTGTGAAGGTGAAAAGTGCAATAGTTCACATTATTTAGCTCAGTGTAATTTTTGCCAGCAAACCTGTCCTGGCGAACCTTTAAAGATGGCAAAACATTTGTTAGAAATGTGTGAAGAGATTAATCAAGATGAACGTAATAATATCAAAGATCTTTTAAAAAAGAAGAAAACAAAGAATTTACAGGAAGATACATTGTTACATCAAACTAGTGATAATAATAATATGAATACAAATAAAAGTGAAATCGAACCTGTTTCATTAACTATTAGAGAAAAAGCAACTATCAATCGTCAATTGCTTAAGGCATTAATTTCTGCTAATGCACCATTGTTTTTTGTAAAAGACCCCGAAGTAATTAAGTTGTTTCATATATTAAAGCTAGAGTATAAGCTTCCGTCTCGTAAATGGATAAGCACAGATGTTTTAGATAATATATATGAAACTATATAGTGCAATATTCAACAGTTTATATCTGATTTAATGTTTTTAATATTGTTGGGTGATGGTTGGATGAATGTTTCAAAAAATAGCATGTTAAATTTCATTATAACAAATGAAAAACATGGAAGCCAGATTTTAAAAATAGATAATTATTCTCATTTGCATCATATGGGAAACAATATATTTGAGATATATAAAGAAATTGGAATAAGCATCGGTTTAAATAAATGGATAGCATTTATTTCAGATAGTGGACCCGATTTTAAAAAGGCACAATGCCTTATATGTGAAGTAATTCGATCTTTATAATTAAAATTTTCCTTATTTGTTTTTTAAATGCATGCTGTCAAAAATCCAGTTTCTACAAGTTGTACTTAAAAAAATTTGATTATATAATATGTAAATAATTATTATCATATTATAGGATCGTGATATTGGTGGTAAAGCTTTAACGATTCCATGCATAGCACATCAAACCAACTTGTTGGTTAAAAAAATTGTCAAATCGGCATTTTTTAAACCAGTCATTAAATCTATGTTGGTAATCATCAATCACTTTCGAAATTTGAATATTGCATTAGCTAAATTGAGAGAATTAACTGGTAATAAGACTTTAAAACCCCAATATCTGTGTATTACTCATTGAACAACATTTACCAAAGCTTCGGAAACATTGTTAAAAATTCAAACAAGTTTAAAGGTATGTATTTAAAATTTTTCTAAATAATTTATAATATATACATATATGTATATATAATTTGTCTTTATTACTATATTTATTTTTAGGTTATTGTGCTTATGCACTCATCTTTTTTAGTTTTACGAGAAAATGATCTTTGTGATATTATTAGTAATGATGAATTCTGGTTAAATCTTAAATTGTTTCATGAATTATTAAAACTATATGATTATATTATAAAAATTCTTGAAACAGAAAAAGCTACATTAGGTCAAGTAGCTGCATCATGGGTATGGCTTCGTGAAACTATTAATAGAAGTTTGTGTATTAATAATAATTTTCAGGACTCATTAATTATAGAAATTGACAATTGTTGGGAAAAAATATTCAATCCTATTAATATAATTACCTGGTTTCTTCATCTGTATCATCACGGTGAAGGGTTAAACCCAAAATAGCATTTGTATATTCAAGAATTGGCATATGGCTTGTTTTGCTTCTTATATTCAAATCATAGCCAAGATGAATTTATTGATGAATGGCTAAATTATACAAATCAGATAGGACCATTTTCAGCATTATCTATTCAAAATCCAAGTTTTACCAAGATTCTACTGCGATATTGGCGTACTATGCTTCCTGTAGCACCAAATTTAAGTGAATTTGTATGTCACCTTTTGTCAATCCCACCAAATTCAGCTACTTCAGAATGGGTATGGTCTTTATTAGGTAATATACATACAGAATGCCTTAATCGATTATCACCATCACAAGCAGCAAAAATGGCACAAGTTTCTTGGTATATAAATCAAAAATTCAAGCAGAACCAAAATAAAAAAAAATCTCAAATCTTCGAAGAATCAACATCAAGTGAAATAGATGTGAATTTAGATGATAATGCCAATGACTATGTTAGTAATATGGATGAATTTATGGATAATTTGAATCAAATATCTAACAACTTGATAGATGATGTTCACTTACTTGATTCAAATAGTGAAGAAACTATCTCAACACTTGTAGACCTTTTTGATTTTAAAAGCTTAAAGAATCATTAAATTTTTATATTCAATGATTGTATGTATAAGTTTTAGGGTTGAAATTTTGAATTTGCTTTGATTGTATTAATAAATAATATATCCAATGTTTTTGAAAAACTTTTGAGTTTTGAATTCGAATAAATATACAGAGAATTTATATCTATTTTAATAAATTAATTTACTTATACTTCTATGAATTTATAATGCTAATTTCAATACAAATTTATAATAATATTTATTTATATTGCAGAATTATTTTATTTTCAATGCTTTATTACTTATAATCGATCGTAAGTACATACAATTTAAGCACTTATATAAATTTATAAATAGGTATCTTTTTTTCATTTTACAACAATTTAAATTATTTCGCCTGTAACAATTTGATAAATAAAGTATAGATATTATTTATTTGGTCGAGAGTTGCTAGTAAATTTACAGGTTTATATTTACTATCCCAAATTATAAATTGTTTTGGTAATTAGCTTCGTAAAAAAAATTCTTTTTTTGATCAATAATTTTTAATATTCATTCACTTTAGTAAAACAAAATAAATTTTAATCTGCAAATATAAGTATTTAAGTAATTATTTAAGAAAATATTGAAAATATTG